TAAATAAAAATTAAAAAAAAAAAAACAACTGAGGATCAAAGTAGATACGCAACTTGCCCAACCCCAGGGGTAGGACTGAAACTCAGGTCTGCCGGACTGCAAACTCATATTCTTAACACTATACACAATACCTCCTGTATAAACTCTCAATTTAAATTACAAAAGGGGAGCGTCTTAATATGACTTTAGTAGTCCACATAATATGACTTTTGGAGTCCAGAGGCTCCAAGCACTTGACCATGACAGCCAGTAAAGTCAGCAGCCAATCTGCCTTTAGCTTGCCCATCTGATCTTCATAAATATGTAAATATAATGCCATTTTTCTCCTTCCTGTAATAACTGAACATTGCGGGCCACCTTTAGGAAAGTACATACTACAACATTTTCAGAGAGCCTCTCACAAGGCTGACGGCAGGAATGAGGTGTAAAGCTGGGGCCGCAGGACTGAATAAAGCTAACAGGATCACAGGGAGATTGAACTCAACTCACTCTACAAACATTTGCTAAGGCCATTCTCTCTCTCTCCTATTCCTACCAAATGGACTAACAAGCTCAGTAAAAATAAAAGAAAAAAAATAGACTTAGTCCAAACACCAAACTTCTAACCTAATCTTAGTGACCTTAGGCAAATCTTACCTGACCAGGTATCAGTTTCCTTATCTGTAAAATCAAGGGGAGTTGGACCAGGTCCTCTCTACTGTTACTTCCAATCCTGGAATCCTGCAATGAATAATCTCCGGATGGATGACAATTTACACGACTTAGCCATATAATGTAGTAATGTAATGACTTATTCCAAAACTCTCAACTGACAAAGAGCAGACCTATAATACTACTACTAAAAGAAGTACCTTCCCACAAATTATTTCAAGTTATCTTGAAGAGATTTCAGATCTGTGTAAAGATACTGCAGAAAGATTAGTGTCAGACAAAGCAGCTGTGTGGTCCCCAAGCAACTGTGCCCCATCACCTTTCAGCACATGGTGAATTACAACATCTTGAACATTCTTGGTGCCTAAATAACTGAAGCAAGTGAGAAAGCACATGGCATCTGCAATTCAACAAAACTTTAAAATAGGAAAAAGAAATGATGCTTAGCATAAAGTCCTCTTAACAGAACTGACAGAGAACAGGGTAACAGCTGCAAAGGCAGTGTTCTACCTGACTCTTAGGAGGCTCACCTCTGTTTCACAACTTGCTCACAAGTTTCTTCAATTACCGTGGATGTGTAGCTAAATTTAATCTGTTCCAGTGGTAACCTTTGCCCTGCTACTATTTTGAATAAGGATCTCGAAATACAAAAAGCAGGCAGCTGCCAGAGGATTGGAAGCCCGGAAGCCAATGATTTCTACGTCTGTGGCGTCCTGGACCTCTTTCCCAGACCAGGAAGGCCTCTCCCAATGGTCTTTCCTCTGCACCTGGGCTAACCTTCCCTCCTGGACCCTCCCCAATGCAGAAGCTAAACCCTTGGCTCCTTCCGGAGCAACTGCCGGCTCCAAATCCGTTGCCCCTGCTGCAAACCCCTCCCTTATCAACCTGGCCCCAGCCCAATGCCCAGGTCTCACCCCTCTAAACTGCACCTCTGCGCCCACGGCCCCTCCCCCACACCGTGCCTAAGCCTAACCCCCACCCACGGGGCCACCCGGCTCCCAACACGCCCGCTCCCCTGCCCCATGCCCAGAGAAGCAGCGACCCTCGGAGACAGCCGCTCCCTCCCTCCACTCTGCCGCAACACTTGAATCCTTCGCAGCCCCCTGCCCACCTCAACCTGAGCCGCAGGCGCGGGTCCCCTTAACCGCTGCGCTTCTCTGCCCGCGGGCTCCGGGACGCGCTCGCTCCCGCAAGGCGTCTCGGTGCGCGCACGCTCCGGGCTCGGGCGGCGGAAGGGGCGGGGGCCTGGAGCATGACGGGGGCGGGGCTTAGCGGGGCGGGGCCTGGAGCGGCGCTAGCCGGCGCGGCTGGGTCGTGGGATGCAGTTTTCAGTTGGCTTGTTGGTCTCACCTGATTTAGAAACTTCCGGAGGGCGGGGTCTGGAGCGGCGCTAGCCGGCGCGGCTGGGTCGTGGGATGCAGTTTTCAGTTGGCTTGTTGGTCTCACCTGATTTAGAAACTTCCGGAGGGCGGGGTGTGTCGGTTGTCTTTGCCTGGCCCAGAATTGAGGCTGTAGAGCCCCTGAGTAAGTGAATGCAATTTTACTAGCTAACGTTTGCAGAGAGCATACCCTGCTCTTTCTTTCCGCCCTCTTAGTACGACAGCTGTATGCGCTATGCCGTTAGTTCCCGTTGTACAGTTTGGGGAACCGCGGTTTTTCGAGTTTCGGTGAGGAGAACGCGGCCCTGAGCCTCTGCCCCCGGCGTGTCCCCATTTCTCCCTCCCGTCCCCGGGCCCTCGACGTCCGGAAAGAAAGTACACATATCGGAGAAATACTTTTCATATGAAACTCGGTAATGTTCCTCTTGTTAAGCATCTGGGTCCCTTTCTCTTTATTCACTGGGGTTTATGTAGAGCGGCTTCAGAATACTTATTCCACCGCTCCTCCCACCGGTCGGGCAGAGACCATCCTCAGTTCTCTCGACTGGACGGAAATATGTCAGAGAAGCCGGCGGGCCAAACTACTGTTCGCACCTGGTTGGAAAAGAGTGGTTTCCGAATAAGGCCCCATCTCCGCTCCCCTGCGGGCTGCACGCCTGCCCTCAGCTCCTGTTAGACCGTTGGGAGGTCCTTGAATTAGAAACCAAGGAAAAGGGCAGGGGACATCATCCCACAGTTGTCTTGGGTCTCTGACCAGCCTAGGGTGAAACAAAGAGTCAAAGCGCTAAGTTGTAAGTTTAAAAAAAAAAAAAAAGTAACCATCTCAGTACTCTTGTAGCTTCACACACACAAACAAGGAAGTTTATTAAAAAAAAATATTTATTAATTTTTACACCTGCTGAGTAGCACAACACTATTAACACTATAACTCACTGAATGTACAATAAATGTTCACATTTAAATAACAGGATAGGGTCAACGTTTTCAACCTGTGGGTCATCTTTAGCGTCTCATGAAGTGCTTTTTAGCTCTAGACATCTTAAGAGTTTCTTGAAAGGATAATTCCAAATCAGAAAATAATTGAAGAAGATCAAAACAATAGGTTTGTCCAGAATAACAGGAATTTTACATGATGAAATGTCTATTTATGTGGGCAGAAATCAAACAATAAAAATGTAAAATCTATATGTAACCTACTCCAAAATTTTCAAATGCACTGATCAAAGTCTGCAGTGCCAATGTGTCTTAAGAGAGGCCACAGTATAAACATTGGCTACATGCATTTTTTCCGAATTGGGTCCTCAGATGGCTTATAATCTGCCATCTCTTCGAATCCAAGGCCTTTTGAAAATCTATTACCTTGGAATGAATGTGCAGAATACCTGATCTTAACGCAGTGTTGTTTGGCTTGACAGCCACCTGCATCTCTGGTGAATAATATACAAATTAGTTTTACTTATTCCACATAAGGGCAAAAGAAAAAAGAAAAAAAAACTTAGATGGGAAGGAGACAAAGAGGTCCTTCCACAATATTTTGTTTGTGTATTTTAAAACTTGAAATAACTGGCATAAAATGAACATTCCACTCAGTGATAAGTTATTCCTGAGGGGAAGGGAGGTACCTTGTTGGTTCAAATTAAAAAGGACCCAATAGGGCCAAATTTAAGGTATAAAAATTAAACTGGACCTTTAGGAAAGTCTAATATTTTTCACCTAGCAAGTCTTTGTAGACTGGACACTGGGATATTTACAGTCATTACATTATGGGACTTTGGGACCCCGAGTCTCTATTTTGTGACTCTTTGTTACCAAAGATAGAGAGTCCATTTTCAGTTTCTACGCATTTACTGAGTAACTTTCTCAAGTTCTTTTAGTGCCCAAATTTTCAAGGATAACTAAATGAATGAGGTCTCAAAAATAAAGTGCAAAATCTACACATTAGTAAAGTTATTTCAACAGAATTGTTTACTTTTCAGAAAGATATCTTTACTATAGAGAAGCTACTATACTTCTTAATTTATAGAACCAGTTCTTACCCAGAAATGTAAATAAAATAAATTAGTTAACTTCATTTGAAACTGAAGTTAGGTCTTTCTATTCTGGAGTGATAAATTCTACCATGCAATAATTATTCTAAAAATGTGTTAGTACGTCACAAAAAGTTGTTAAAATACATACTGATTTCTGCAATGTTTTATGTGTACAACTGGAATGTACAGTAAAAAGAAAGGAAATATTTTTCCCCATTGAATTCATAGCTAACAAGACTCTAAACAGGAACACACATAAGGAAAACTATCGAGGCAGATTTTCTTTCATCTCCCATCTAACTGTAATATTCATAAAGACTGGATTTCCTCCAAACCCCTTATAATTACCTTAACATATTATAAATGTTCCCCACATTTTTGTTTTTCCCCTAAGTGTAAAGTTGGTCATCTTACCAAAAGGTCCAGATGAGTTGCAATATGTTTAAAGTTAAAAATATTAAGAAATAAAGAGGGCCACCTTTCCATCCAACCTTAAAGAATGTTCATTTTAGGACAGCATTAGAAGTACTAAAATACACTGAATGCTGTGAGCAAGAATTGAATGTACACATGGTAAGAGCAAGGAATTCATCCTTTACTGATGAATGGTAAATGGGTCCTGTAAGGCAGGACAAGGTTTCAGTGCTTTTTACTTTATATCTATAATTGTTTTAGTCATTTTTCTTGGTACCAGTATCTCCAATATCCTCTTACTACAACCACAACCAGAGAAAGGGAGGCAATGCTTTAACGTAGGAGTTGAAATTCTGCTGACATCAAGTAACCTTTTCTCTTACAGGGAGTCCACCGTCGTGGAGTAATCAAGTCAGATCTATCCGAACGTGAGGTTCTACCATAATCTGCTGATGGCCATCATCTGTGGAAAGCACTACCAATGGCCCAACAACAGTTTTCCAAAAAAGGCAATTAAAAAAAAAAAAAAACAGCAATAAGAAAAAAAATTTAGATGGCAGTTTTTCTTTCAGAACATCACTGTCAAACCTTTGTTTCATCAATTTTATTTTCATATTCAGTAGGCTCCCTTTGTTAAATTACTGAAAACACAGACTCACAAGATGAAGTAGTTCTGACCTAACACACACCCATAAAATGCCCCTTCTCCTTTGGTGCCACGGCTGGGAATTAAGAAGTCCAGTGGCCATGGACTTGGCACATCCTTTCTCCACCTTTGGTACAAACACAATACACCACTTAATATTTCCACAAAGGAAAAGTAAGGCTTATCAATGTGTTAAAAAACCAACTCAAGAGCAAGGCAAATTTTCTCCATCTTGAAATCTACTTTCCCCTGAAAGATCTGCATTCCATGGCAGAAACTCCTAGGGTTTGAAGAGTCAGTTTGGTAAATATGACCTTGAGAAAATAAGTCCCAGTGTATGTATGAGTGTCAAAACTGTAGTTTCCAAACTCTTGAGTGAATGATAAATCTTAAAAAAGAGTTCTAAGTGTCAGAAGCTTTCGGACTTATGAATGAGAAACAGGATGTGACTGCTCCATTCTAGCTCAGGGACAGAAGTTAAGGTTTAGTGATATGCACTTCACTGCTCCCATTCCCGTTGGTGGTGGTTGTAATGATGTACTGTGTGGGCTGCTGTTGGCTGGTGGTCTGGGGGTCCAAGTCACTGTGTGCAGTTGTCTGAACCTGGACTCCCCCGGAGAGAGCAGAAGCTTGCTTTTCCTCCAATTCTGGTTGACTTTCTGATAACACATAATGACCCTAGAGCAGGAAAAGGATCTTTAGAAATCTGAGGCCTAAAGATGGGCGTTCTTGGGGTGGAGGGGAAGAAATATACAAAGAAATGTTACAAGGGGACACCAAAATAGGTACCTATGGGAGATGCTTTACCTAATTCCTTCAGAGGATGAATCAGTCACAGTAATAGACTACAAAGGCAATTTAAGGGAGCACCTTAGTTGTTCTACCAAATGATACAGTGAAGAACTTCAGGTACAGAAATTTGCACCATGAATGGTAACTTACATGGGAAAGGAAACATGTGCTATTGCTCTGCTCCTAAGAATTTAGAAACTCATAAAATAAGATTGCTATCTGTCAATTAATGTTTAAGTTTACTACAAAATGGATCAAAGAAGAGGTATTTAAAGTCTCCTTACAGAGGCAGAATGGCCCCCAAGAAAAGTAGTCAAGATCAGTGGTTCCCAGACTTCAGAATTTCAAAGACTAGCAAAATTATAAGTAATAATAAATGTTCCCAAATTTTATTTTGCCAAGTAAAGTCATTTTTTAAATGCTACTGTCAAATGAGAGACATTTTAACACTCAAAAGCATAGGAAGAACACAACCTTAGAATAAAGTCCCTTATACAGAATAAATTTAGCTTTATGAAAACATACATTGTCTTTATTTTTCCTCATTTTTCCTCTCATCGTGAAAACTTCTCCACAGGCCTGCAGCTAGCTATTGCCTTAGGTTAACATTTTTAAAGAAAGAATGTGTCAGTCATTGGGAGGATTGGTCAGCTACACAGGCTGAGAAAAAGAGAAGTCACAGAGGAAAACTCAGGCAGTAGTCTTTCCAAGCACTGTCCAGAAAAAAAGCCATAGCCAAATACCCATTGGATTTATCTAGGGCCACATGTTCTGAGTCCACGCTCATCAGGCAACTTTCTCATTATGATTTGGTTTCCCATGTGGGTCTTTCTCTAGCAGGAGGGGGCTGGTTCCCAACCTAGGGTCCATGGACCCCCTAGGTGGTCCAGAGGTGGGTTTCAGAGAATGTATGAACCCCTGAAAATATACATTAAATTTTTGTGTATATATATTGTGGCAGGGGGAGAGGAACATCCTTGGCTATAATCAGGTTCCCAAATGAGTTCCTGGCCAAAAAAAGGTAAAGAGTTAATGGTTCCTCCAGGGAGCAAAAACATTAATCATGCCAAGACTATTCCATTTTACATTAGTTATTGTTTTCATTGACAATAGTGTTACTCTGGATTTATACATCTCTCCTAAGTCTAGTCAATGTGAGTTTGTGTGCTAAGAAATGGGTGAGCTTTCAGTGTACTTTGAAAAAAAAAAATCATGTTTTTGAGGCCACTAGACTATTCTGCTACTCTTTGAAGCCTCTTGGGAAACAGTCGTTCTTCCCCTGGGAACATCCCACTATCCTTAGCCACTTTTGAGTATTTTTCTTAATTTAAATTTACGTACTCTGTCTTTTAACAACTTAGAGGCAGGCCAGAACAAACCAATGAAAATAAAAACAGAGGCAGCAGATACAATCAACATTGACCTGCCTGACCTAAATATAACAAGATAATTTATGGCAATGTTTTTCACCCTGGGGTGAATGAATTGTTTAAAAGAGCTCCATAATAGACTCATCGTATTATTCTCTTCCAACCCAGCTGAGGACCAATAGTCATGAAGACTCATATACTTTCCAAGAAGTACATACAAAGGTGATCAATTACAAATCTATATGTATATGGATCTAGGAGATTCATTACAATTATTAATTAAATAGATATTTATTGAGCATTGGCTATAGCCCAGCCTCCTGTGCAAGGCACTGAGGATAAAGAGACCCAGCTTTCAAGGAATTCATTGTCTACTGAGAAAAAATAGACAGTAAAACAATAATAAAAATAAACTGTGATAAGGGTTATAATATAGCACCACAAGGTGTTTTGGGGATACAGAGGCGGTACTTCCAACTCAGATTTGGAAAGCTGAGGAGTAGAAGATGGGGGAAGGGGAGAGTGGGGCAGTATGGTGGACAGGAAAACCCTCCTGAGCAGCATAGCTTACCGGAGTAACGGCCTTCACTTGACCAGTGGTGACAGGAGTTGCCACACCACTGTCTGTAATCACAAACTGACCTGGGGGAAGTGTCATCATTTGAATCTCAGATGCTGAAAAACAGGAAATATTCATAGTTCAGTGGTCTCAGATTTTAATAGAAGTTGTAGAAACAAATACCTAACCAGTGACCACACTCCCCACTGAGACATTTTCCATGGATCTGCTTGCTGTGAGAGTCTTATGAGATATGATTTCTTGATACAGTGAAAGCATCTTTCATAAGAATTGATCATATGAGGTTACTAGAGAGTTCTCAAATATTGGAAACAATCAATCTCCCTCATATGTGGCTTCTGAATATCATAGACAAATACGCAACAATTTTTTAAAGCCTTGAAATAAATTACAAAGATTTAGGTTAGCTCAGTATTTTTATCTTTTATATTCAGATGTGAATTTGTAGCACAATGAAGTTTTCTAGCTAATTAGTGAATAAAGACTGATAGAATCAGAATATGACAACTTTGCAATCCCTAATGAAACAGTGGAGCAAAGGAAAAAAGGAGACAGCCAAACATTATGTCCCTCCTGATGGGAGTACACAACACCAGCTATGAAGTGTCTCTGGGGAAAAAGCTGAACTTGAATCTGATCAAGGCTCTAGATCTAATTGCCAGTGTACAGGAAATAAAAGGGACAGAAAAAAGCATCTTAAATGATAATATAGGGATGCCAAGAGCAAAACCCAGAATGTGGGAAATTCTACAGGAAAATGACCCAGCTTCTTCAACACATAAATTGCAACTTAAAAGAGAGAGAACACATGTATTAAAAGAAACTCAGAAGAGGGGCTGTCCTGGTGGCATAGTGGTTAAGTGCACACACTCTGCTTCGGCGTCCCGGGGTTCGCAGGTTCGGATCCCGGGTGCGCAGCAATGCGCCACTTGTCAAGCCATGCTGTGGCAGCATCCCATATAAAGTAGAGGAAGATGGGCACGGATGTTAGCCCAGGGCCAATCTTCCCCAGCAAAAAGAGGAGGATTGGCAGTGGATGTTAGCTCAGGGCTAATCTTCCTCACCAAAAAAAAAAAAAGAAAAGAAAAGAAAAGAAACTCACAAGATGTGATCAATTGCAATGTATGGCCCTTATTTGGAACCCAATTTGAACATACCAACTATTAAAAAAAAACATTTATGAGATAATCACAGAAATATGAACACTGGATATTAGATGGTATTAAAGAATTACTGTCATTTATATTTTAGGTGTGATAATGGTACTGGAGTTGTTTTTTTTTTAAATTCCTTTGGTTTTAGAGATATACTAAAATATTTATGGATGAAATGATATGAACTATTATATAGTTGAAGCACTGGGAGAGAATGACAGGAGGGTACAGAGGAGACAAGACTGGCCATGAGTTGATCCCCGTGGAAGCTGGATAATGGGTACCAAGGTGTTCATTATACCATTCTATTTTTGTATATTTTAAATTTTTTGCCAAATAAAAAATTTCAATTCTAGAATCTTTTCCTCAGGTTAGAATGCTAGCTCATACTATTATGACCATGGCTATCTGCACCATTCCACATTTCTTTCACAGGAATTAAACTTAGTATAAATGTCAGTCTATTTACCAGGATTCTACTGGTATTTACCACGACTAGGAGCCTTTCCCTCACTAGAAACTAGACTCAGCCCTCATTGTGACCACCACTATTTAAGAGAATAGATTATAAAAATAACTAAGTGGTAGAGTTTCAGCCTGATTCCATACCAAATCCACATACATAGCCAAAGATCCATCACAACAGAGACAGACTCCAAGAAAGAAATCAATAGTAAGAGAAACATCCACACTGGCCTTCCTAATTTCTTGGCCCCTGTTCCTCCTAGTTCATACTATTAGGTCTAACTGTTACTCTATTTCTATTCCTTCCTTCTTTAGTCATAAAGGGCTCAGACCTTCCAGCTCATACCCAAGGCTGTCGTCCCCACCAAGATTGTTACCTATTCTGCCCCTTGGCAGCCAGCCTGTTACTGCTTCTGTAGCACTAATCTCAGGGTTTCGAAAGCAACTACTCATCTCTCTCTCTCTACTGGGTAATGATCTCTTTGAGCCAAAGACTGTCTTATTAGAAGAGGCAGCCCAGTGGGGTAGTTTAGAGTATAAACTCTGGAGCCAGATTGCCTGGGTTCCAATCCTCCCTTTACCAGCTATGTTCCTTGGACAAGTTACTCTATGTGTAAATTGCCTTATCTGTAAAAGGCAAATTACAATTGTGCTTATCTCATAGGTTGTTGTGAATACTGAATGTGATATATATGTGGTTTAGAATCATTCCTGGCACACAGTAAGAGCTTAATGAAAGTTGGCTAACATTATTATTGTGTGGTATTACTGATGTGAATGTCAATATTAATCTTTTGTACATCCAGGGTCTAGCACAGTGATATATGGGAATTCAATAAATATTGGTGGAAGAGATGCATCATTAGCATCAACATACCCTATACCCATCTATTCTACTTTTTAAACCATCTGCTTACACTTCCTGCAGCAGTATTCCTAGTGTCTCTGAAATGGGTGGCTCTCTGAGATGAGAACACTGCCTTGAATTTTGTCATGAAACTCATTCAAGTACATGTACTACAGAGTGTAGAAAATGACCAATGATAATTTAATCCAGAAAATCTGTTATAAAGCTGATGAAATTATGACCCATGGCTGCAGATTCCCCACCCACCACCTATAACACTACCCCTGTTTCGTACTTACAATAGCCACGGAAGGAATTCCAAGCATTGGGTAAGTAGGTGTGTTGTACAGAGGAACTCTGCTGCTGCTGCTGCTGGAGGGCCTGGCCTTGTGCAGAAGAACCACCTTGTATGTGGGAGGGGCTGAGCCCCTGCTGAGACTGCTGGGAAGAGGGGCTCAGAGGCTGCCCAGCCACCAAGAAAGAGAAAGCAAGAACAGGAAATTATGAATTTCCAATATAGTGAAGACACAAATAACTGAAAAAAACAAATCAGGCTAACATGAATTATGATACCCAATCTCTGCTAAAATAATATTTTAAATAAGAATAGAATTAATGAGAAGCAATCATAACAATGAAATCCTGATTTGTTTTCAAAGGATTGTCTACAAGAGTATCCAAAAATTTAATTTCAATAAGCTTGTTAGAAAGATAAATGAATGAAAGTATAATTACCTACATTATATAAGATTAAAAGCATTGAGAAGCCAAATAACGTGCCTGTGTCACAAGGCTAATCTGTAACACAAATGGAAGTGGAAACCAGAAGTCACCGTTTCCACTGGAGTGCACTGGACAATCCCAGCCAGTGAGTGGAGGTGACACAGCCCACAGTGTAGACGCCCAGCCGACAGGCTCGCTCCTGTCTGTGGATCAAGCCCAAGCTCCGGCGTCGGCCATCCAAGTCCTCCCCACTCCACTCCAAACTACCTTTCCAACTTCTTTTCCAATATCACTTCCCGTTACTCACATAAATAGCTTTTTATACATATACCATAATTTCCCATTGCTGTGTCTTTACTCACAATGACAGCATATTCAGATCATAATGCCTCCCCCAACATGTCAAAATCATACCCCTCCTTCAAGACCTAATTCAAACACCATTTCTACAAAAATTTCCCTGTTTCCCTACTAAACATAATCTTTCCCTCTTCTGAACTCCCATAACTTATCTATATATCCATACTACCCTCAGACTCCTGCAGGGATCTTGGTGGGCCCTTCTCCAGCTGTGCCCCTCCTCATATGAGGCCAAATGGATGTGCCCACCTGGTATGTGCGTCATATCCCAACCATATACCACACACCTCTAGGCTACACTTTGGGGACCACAGCCCTCCCATTCCCTATGGAAATGGCCCCGCACACACTTCCAGGGCCTGCACAAATCTCTTTCCTGGTCCGTCCTCTTGCAGGGGTCCTGTCTTCTGCATATGGGTTCCTCTAATGGTATTTGGGCACCTGAGACTAAGGGGGTGGCTAAGGGATCGCCATTTGCAGGAGTGTGGATGAAAATGAGACAGGTGGGTCAGGGTGTCCACGTGGATAGACACAAGGCCCTGTGAGGCACAGGACAGAGTCTGGGGAGCAGATAGGGGGAGCAGTCTTGCGGAAGCCTGTCCCTGTGCCATCACATTCTAACAAGGAACTCTGAGGAGTCCCTCCTGGCCCTCCAGCCTCAGGTTCCTTTGAGAAACTTAAAATGTGATGCTAGGGACCGGCCTCATGGCTTAGCGGTTAAGTGCGCACACTCCGCTACTGGCGGCCCAGGTTCGGATCCCGGGCGCGCCCTGACGCACCACTTCTCCGGCCATGCTGAGGCGGCGTCCCACATACAGCAACTAGAAGGATGTGCAACTATGACATACAACTGTCTACTGGGGCTTTGGGGAGAATAAGGAGGAGGATTGCCAATAGATGTTAGCTCAGCAAAAAGAGGAGGATTAGCATGGATGTTAGCTCAGGGCTGATCTTCCTCACAAAAAAATAAATAAATAAATAAAAGAGGTTTAAAAAAAAAAAAGTGTGATGCTAGTTGGGGTGGGAAACTCAAGGAGAGAGTCTGCTTGTCTTGGACTGGGAGAAGTAATAAGAGACCTCACAGCCATGGCAGGTGGTGTGCAGCACTCAACCTCCACCTATAACCTCCAACAAACAGGAAGGGAGAGAAAGTGCACGTTTATCCTATGGATTTCCACAGCAACTAGAAGGGCTCAGAGACAGCAAAGGAGGGAGAAATCCTTTCTCCTGGCTTCTTCTCACCCCAGCCTGGCAACAGCCAGTGCCATCCATGGTGTTTGGCAGAAAATGCAATTAATTTTGAAGTGGCACTATCCATATTATTTAGTATCAATTGTTACTTGACATATATTTTTCAATTTTGTCATTATGAAAGTATGTGTCAAGTAGGAAAATAAAACATTTTATTTAACAGTTTGTTAGCTTGATTCAAAACTTTTCACTACTCAGACACATAGCATGTAGGCCTTCATTTGTACACTTGTCCTAGAACCTGTGAATGTCAGGAGTGGGCCTATATCATCCTTTATGGTACAAGTACCTTCACTTCAGATCCTATTTATTTGTACTCATGTTTTATCTCCCTACTAGACTCCAGGCTCCTTGAAGGCAAGACCTAGAAAAGTTTCATGCAAAGGGTAAAACTTTAATAAATATTATTTGAAAGGATGTAGCTATGCTATCTCAATAATAGACTTGATCATATAAACACAATAGTACTCCACAAAGTCACTGTTCCAAAATTATAGAAACAATTTAGCAATTGCATACTATCATGTAGCCATTTAGAATAGGAAGCAATTGCTAATGTTGTCTCTAGGATATCATATCCCAGGGCTCCATCTGGACAGAGAAGCTAATCACTTAAAGTACGCATGTCCATAATACCAATATAACAATTGGAGGCAAAGGTAAGACTCTTTAAATAAGATCAAAAAGTAACAATATAATTTCAATAGTCAAGGAGACTAGGTCTGAAGATCATGTCTCTTCACTCTTATTAACTCCTCAGGGTCCCTGAGGTCCTGTTAACCTCTGTGAATAGTGTACGGAGATGTGTACCTGGGATGAGGATGGTGCCGAGGCTGTGGGCTCAGTGACCTGGATGTGCTGCACCTGGATGGCATGCTGGGTGTAGGTCTGAGGGTCGTGGAGCTGGCCAACATCCACAGTGGACTGCTGAGACTGGTGAGGGGAAGTGGCCTAGAGGAAGGAAAAAACCAAATGCATATGGATTGAGGTTAGGAGAAATATTTCCAGAGAAAAAGTTCAGCTAAAACAATATCCCAGCAGAAATATAAGAACAGATGGAACTGCAGATCCAGTGCTTCACTCCAGAGGGCCCACACCTAAGTCAAGCTGGCAAACATTCAAGGAAAAGGTAGCTTTAAAAATTATGCTCATAGGGAAATGCAAATCAAAACCACAATGAGATATCACCTCACACCTGTTAGAAGGGCTTTTACCAAAAAGACAACAGAGGAGTGACGTCAGCGTCATGGCAGCGTGTGCTTTCCCGTGAACTCTTCCTCCGCTAAGATACAACAAAAGGAACAGTCACAGACCAACAACGGAATCGTAGATGGTGAAAAGCTAGATCGGAGAGATCCACACTGCCGCACATCTGAGAGTGGAACGTGCTGGGTCCCTGGAGGAAGTGGGGAGAGGTAAGAAGAACTCCTCCCCCTCCCCATCAGATCAGCTATCTCGGTCCACGTGGCTCCCAGAGAGGGGGGAGGGGCAGCACTCTGCAGGAAACCGGAGCTCTTCAGGCTCTCTCAGCCAGTGGGAAACTCCCACACAGAGGACTCAGAACTGCTACAGGGGGACCATCAACATCTGAGCACCCCAGGAGAGCGGATAACGAGGGGTGAGCGAGAAGCCCCCCATGCCAGGGACCCAGCAGGCAAAAGAGAGAGCCCCCTGCTCCCCGCAAGCTGGACACTGCAGCTCAGCCGACCAGACCAGACCAAGTGGCCGGCGGATTGCAGCGAACAGCTGAGTCAGAGAACAGAGGGCTCAGATTACACAGCCCTTAACCCCCACACAGTGGCAGCAGGTGGAAATTGCAACCAGATATTTCCAGGGTAAGGAAAAACAAAGCCAATACAGGAATCACAATGCAAAGGTATACGAAATCACCAGACCAGAAGGCAAATGACAAGCACCCAGAAACCAACCCTGAAGACACAGAAATCCATAACCTAAATGACAGAGATTTCAAAATAGCTATCATAAAAACACTCAATGAAATACGAGACAACACAGACAAACAATTCAATGAGATTAGGAGTTTGTTCACAAAAGAGATTGAAATCATAAAAAAAAACCAATCAGTGCTGATGGAGATGAAAAACACAATGGGGGAGATAAAGGAGAATCTGGAATCTTTAAAGAACAGAGCTGACAATATGGAGGAAAGAATTAGCATTTTAGAGGATAGGAATACAGATATGCTCCAGATGGAAGAGGAGAGAGAACTAAGACTAAAAAGAAATGAAGAAAGTCTCCAAGAAATATCTGACT